GTGTTTTATGCACATTTCTTAACATGAGCTACATTATCACAGAAAAATCATACAGTGGCCAATCAGGAAGCCCTTTGAATCCAAAAAAAAAACAGTGGTCAATCAGGAAGTCTTTTGAATCCAAAAACCAGTGGCCAATCAGTTAGTTGGTTTGTTTGTTATGGATTTCGCGCAAAGCTATACGAAGGCTATCTGCGCTAGCCGTCCCTAATTTAGTAGTTTAAGACTAGAGGGAAGGCAGCTAGTCATCACCAACTCTTGGGCTACTCTTTTACCCACGGCTGAAAGGGCGAGCATGTTTGGTGTGATGGGGATTCGAACACGCGACCCACAGATTGCGAGTCGAGCACCCTAACCACCTTGGTCATGCCGGACCCATAAATAAAAAGAATAATGATGTAATTATGTTCCGATCTCACAAGTGTTGGTGTGGAAATACACAAGTTCATATAATTTTTTTTTAGAGAGAGAGAGAAAAAACTGTTTGCTGACAAGATTAGTAAGATTTTTATAGAGCTATTGACCTTTGTATATGACAAATAACTCAATATCTTTAATATAAAAATAATAGAAAGTCTTTGTTTAAAGAATGATACTTTCTCCTTCTCCCGCCCCATGTTAATCTTAAGATTTTAGGATATCCAGTTTACTTCTTTTTACTGTTCTCTACATACATGTGTAATTTTCCCTGTAAGAAAAAAACATGTCTCAAGAAATCAAACTCTTCCAAAATCAGAAAATATAAAAATGCGTTACATATGAAAAACTACACCAAAAACTGTTACTATTCCTAATCTAACTTTATATTTAGTTTCAAAATAGACAGTGATAACTAAGGGATATTACAAGTTATCTGTGTTTTCAAGTTGTTTGAACCGATTTTTGTTTAAATATACGAATTTAAAGCTTTGATAAAAACAGACATTTACTATGTATGTAATGTTCACGATTTACAGACGTATTTGTTACTGTCTGAAATAGATGTATTATAAAAACAAAGATAAATTACAAGAAATAACTATCTGAAACTTAATTAATTAGATGGTTAAGAAATGCTAGGTTTACGTGTACCTAAGATTCAAACGCTTCGTTTAAAGTATATATTTGTTATCAATTGCCTTCAGTTTTATATTGTGTACACATTTTTTTTTTAAATCCTAATAGGTTACTGACAATGACAAAATATAGGATCATAAGAACATCTGGCAGTGACTTCGTGTTATCGTATTGAACCAATAGGTGAACCTATTAATAACATTTTATTCTACTTGGAATAAACACAATAATATCTCTTGCATGTTTGTTTGTTACACGAGGGCTATCTGTGCTAGGCGTCCCTAATTTAGCCGTGTAAGACTAGAGGGAAGGCAGCTAGTCATCACCACCCACCGCCAAATCTTGGGCTACTCTTTTACCAACGAATAGTGGGAATGACCGTCACATTATAATGCCCCCACGGCTGAAAGGGCGAGCATGTTTGGTGTGATGGGGATTCGAACCCGCGACCCACAGATTGCGAGTCGAGCGCCCTAACCATCTGTCTCTTGCATGTAAACAGCCCAAACATCAGCCCGCATGTAAGCGGTTTTCAATCTTAATCCTCAATTTACCGACTTATTTTTACACCTTTCACTACCGGTGACGTCACGTCAACATATTGCATTCTTTTGCGTCATTTTGTGGTTTCATCAGTGTAAAGAACTGATAAAAAATAAAAGAAAAAGGATGAAATCGCTCATCTTCTACGTAAAATACATCAGGCGATCTCTACCGTATTTAGTGGGATTAATTGCAGTATTGATGGAATTTATGTTTATATTTTGTGTGTGTGTGTGTGTTCTTTGGAGCAATGTAACAAAGTCATGTACTCAGAAGCAATTTGATGCATATACAGTTTAAAAAAATGACAGATGAGGCGTATGTGGACTCCAAACAGTAATTCTAAAACTGACACAGTTATAAATGTGCGGGCGTAAGTTTAAGCAAAATATTGTTCATTTGAGAGATTTCGGGAAATGCCTTGAGATGCTCACACGAAGTTCTTGCGTTCTATTGGGGTCAATAAGCTTACACAGATCAGCCTTAGGTACTGAAAAAAAAAGGGGGCGATGTAAAAGTCCTTAATTGTTAAATCACATACGTAGACTCGTGTCTGTGGCTTTAAGACTGCTTACTTGTCTGACGAAATAAATAAATAAAAAAGATCAAGAAATGTTTACCTATTTAATGGCGTGTCCTTACGTGTGTACCAGTATGTGCAACCCTTCTTTGCATCCAATATATTGGAGAAACTGAGTTACCTTAACCTATAGCCCCCTCCCCCAGGGGTCCTTCCTGGCCCAGTCGTAAATATGAAGGCTTACAACGCTAAAACCCGGGTTTCGATACTCGTGATGGGCACAGCAGTGATAGCTCATTGCGTAGCTATGCGCTTAACAACTAACAATTTTAACCTACATAAATGAGCATTTCAAATATAAGCCCCCTAGTGGCACAGCGGTATGTCTGCGGACTTACAACGCTAGAAACCGGGTTTCGATACCCGTGGTGGGCAGAGCACAGATAGCCAATTATGTAGCTTTATAATTACAAATCAAATATAATAAAAAAATAATGTGATTAAGATAAAATACAAAATGTTTAACAAGTTATTTACTTAAAACTATTACTAAAAATATTACAGCAATAAAATTTGTTTTTGAAATCGAACTGGCACAACCAACACACATTTTTTTTTGTTTTTTTAGTTACATACAAAACAAGCTATGAAAATGGTCTAAACCAATTGTCAATAATTGTAGTCACTTTTGAATGCTTATTTTTAATTCATTATGCTGGTGTTGATGTAATCAAAGTTTGCACTGAAACACTTTGCTGAAGAGGTCATTGTCTTTAACGTATTAAAATACTGGATTTGAAACTTGAATTATTTTTTTGAAATGATCGCAAAGCCCACCAAGATAAGGAAAATAAATCTTTATTGTATTTCACTTGATACATGCACAGACAATATATTGGTTCAATAGACCTAATAATAGTGATACAAATCACATTAGACTGCAGGTGTTTTTTCATCACGTTCATTTTATAATTAATCCATCAAATCAGAGGTGTGTACAAACAACATTTCAGATTATATTTCTGTTTGCCACAAGGCACTGCTTAGTAGACCTGTCTTTCAATACCATTCGTCAAACGGCAAGACTATGATGGAAGCCGAAAATCGATTTAAAATGCTACTTACATTCCAAAGTGTTGAAAATTCGAATTTCAAGGGCTTCTCTGTTGCAATCGTTTTACTGTTCAATAATACAACAATAAAGCTATTGTAGTAAAGTATTATCTGATACAAGACAATAACATTTTTGTCTCCCTGACAGTCAAAAATGGAACCTTGTATTTTTCGAATACAATTTATTTTTTAATTCTGTTAATCAGTAGAAAGAAAGAAATAACATTCTTAAAATTCGTAACTCGGGCCTAATATTAATTCAGCTTGTAGCTTTGTGTGTGTTTATGTATGTATGCCCAGATAACTTATCCCACTGTTCTACAGCTGGCAGAATCAAACTTAGTAAACTGGGAAGTAGGTGTCTTTATCTATATGGCGTAGCCCTCTTCTGGAGGCTACAACACGCCTAGAAGGTCACCCAGGCATGATTCTAGCCTAAGAATAGATTTTTAGGATCGTCGAGCCCTATCTAACATCAGATATCGTGTTTCTGGCCCCTCTCGAGATCCCGGGGACGTCATGTTTAAAACTGTGTTGATAATCCCACTCATGAGCTAGTGAGACCAACTATGACAGATGTGCACAAGAATC